ATGCATTTGTCCGCCTCATTATTCTCGATTTGTCGTAGGTTGTTGTACTGGAAACCTGTTTGTCTTCTGGCAAGGCTGTGTAACTGCACCAAGGCGCACACAAAGGTCGGCCCTCCAGAAAACCCCCAAGACCGATTGGTACCACCCCTCTCGTTCTTCATATCCTGTAAGAAATGGCGGCAATGGTGGTGAGCCCTGGGTGATACCATCAATTCAATTTTCTATACTCATAGGAATATTGGACAGTGGGCAACGGCACTTGAATCTCGACTCCAGACTCCAAAAGCCATTCAACTGCTAGGATTGCCCTTGGTCCATGGCATCCACGGTTGCTGACGTGGCAATCGATCAGTTGTTGTCTAGCAGAGAGAAGGAATAGCCACTATGCAAGTCGATTGGTCTGACATTGGGGTCTATGAGCATAGCCTCGTTAGCCACAGCTCCTTCAAAAGTGCCCGTTGAGCTACGAGGTAATAGTCTGGTACCCTTCAGCCACCGCCGCATTAAGGAGGGGGGGGATTCCTCACTTCTCACTTCTGCCTCAGTCTCATTCCACCAACTCTCTGTCCCTGCACTAATTTATTGCCTAGTTGAGATGCAAACTTCAGCGCGCCCAGTTGCCCGACTGACCAGCTTCAACACAGGCGAGTGAGGCCTCTCTGGCACTCTAATTGGGCATTGTTTGCTGCCTAAAGCCTCATCAGTTTGGCGCCCGGGACTCAAGCCCGACGGGGTGCACCCAGCCCGACTATTACGTAGCCAGGCTCTGCCCCTCCAAAGATCACCTGCCCGCGGGCCTTTCGTACTGCGAACTTCGCCCACTGACGGGCCCTTTTGTGCTGCTCCCAGTTATACCAGCCACCACTTATACACCAGCACCACTCTTGCAATTCCCAACATTCAACAGGGCATCAAGGGAGCCTTGCAACCCGCCAAGCAGCGCAGCATCTTGCCTTTTGTTTCATCCTGCTTCAAAAGCAGCCCTGTGTCCAACTTTACCATCACAATTTTCCAACATCCCATCTCGACCGCTACCAAATCAGCCAATTTGACGTTTGCCGCGATCGAGTTCGCCACGATCCGACCCCTTCCGTGGTTCCAGTCTTCTTCTGGGCTACATATCACTTTGTCAATTCAGTTTCTCTTGGCTTCACTTCTTCTGTTACCCCACTCGCAGCGACAATGTCCTATTACGACGACGACCGGCCTCGCCGGCAAAAGAGCACCCGCGAGCGATCTCGAAGAGATGACTATGAGGACACAATCTACGATACAAGCACGAGAGACACTCGCATAGTCAAACGGCGCGATGACAGTGTTGATTCGATTGAAGAAGTGTCCCGCGACTTTGCCCCTGGTGACCGCGGCACCGTCTATCGTGAAACCACTGTGCGCAAGAGTGGCCATCGGCCCGTCCGTGCTAGATCCTCTGATGATCGCTATTACGATGATCGTTACGATGACCGCTCATATGTTTCGCGGCGCAAGTATGAGGATGACTACGTCGTCGTTGACAATCCCAAACGTAAAAGCCGTGACTATGACGATAGACGTGAGCAATGCTCCCCTTCTATACTTGTCGCCTCCACTGACTGATTCATCGCAGGTCGCTCTCGACGCTACTCCTCCGACTACGATTCTCGCAGCCGCAGCCGCAGCCGTTCACCCCCAAAGAAAGAGCGCAGGAAGTCCACCACTGAGGAGCTGTTAGGATCCTTTGGCCTGGGTGGTATTGCCGGTACCCTGCTCGGAAAGAGTAAGAGTCGTGACAGGTCGAGATCCAGTTCGCGCGACGGCCGTCATCGAAGCCGGAGCCGAGCTGGTCGCCGTTCGTCGTCCGATCGATCGCGAGCCCAAAGCAAAAGCCGTGGCAAAGTTCGAAGCGAACAAATCTCCCAAGCCATCAAAGCTGCCGTCCTGGCTGGCGCTGGTGAGGCATTCCGTGCTCGAAAAGTTGAAGGTGGTTGGGGCGGCGAAAAAGGCAAACGGATCATCACCGCGGCCTTGGCGGCTGGAGGTGTCGATGGTTTGATTTCGGACAAGAACGACCCCCATCACCATTCAAAGCGCGACATTCTGGGCTCTGCTATTGCCGGTATGGCGACCAACCGCATCATCAACGGGCCTCGGTCGAAATCCCGCGGCAGAAACGGAAGCCCAGACAGCCGTCGCGGCCGGAGTCAGTCCCGAGGCGGGCTGGGAGACCTCGCTGCTGGCGGCGTGGTGGCAGCTACGGCAAAGAAAGTCTTTGATTCAGTCCGCTCTCGATCGCGTGGACGTGCTCGTTCTCGAAGCTCATCGTCGGACAGCCGTGGTAGTCGAAGCCCTCCTCGGCGCAAGCGGAGCCGAAGCGTGTCTGCCTTTGCGGCCAAGGGTCTTGCAGCACTGGGGTTGAAAGATGCCGCGGACAAGGTCGACCCCAACCGTGAGCGTGATCGTCGCCGAAATTATGACGACTACTACGATGATGGTCGATCAAGTCGAAATGGAGGATATGGATACAGTGATTCCCGAGATGTAGGTACCATTCAACCCCACTTTGGTTCTCCTAATGGCGGTCCCCGTTCCATGAGCGTACCCAGGGGGCCGCCTCCTGGCTACGAGCTCGACTATGGCCCACGTCATACTGGTGACCCAGAAACAGACTCCGATTCTGACCTCGGCTCCAGTTCCGAAGATGAGAAAGAGATAAAGAAAGGTCGCAAGAAAATGTTTATTACCGGAGGTCTTGCGACGGTCGCGACCATCCATGCCGCGCACAGTGTCTACCAAAGCATGGAAAAACGACAGACGAGAAGAAGGGCTGTAAAGGAGGGTGATATCACCGAAGAGCAAGCGAGGCGAGCAAAGAACAAGAACAGGTTGCAGGATGCTGCGAGTATTGGAATCGCTGCCCTTGGTCTGAAGGGGGCCTACAGTGAGTGGCAGGAGATGTCTGAGGCGCAAAAGGAGGCCAAGGAGGAGAAGGAGAAGCGTGAGCGACATAAGATGAAGCGAGAAGCAAGGAGACGAAAGATGAGCATGATTGCCGCACACAACTATGCCGACAGTGGCTTTACAGGGAGCATGCCCAGTTTTCCAACATATTCTCAGACAACATACCCTCAGATGCAGTATCCGGCGTTTCCCCCACCACCCGGGGCATCATATGATAATGGGACAGCTGTCCACTACGCCGATGACAATCCTTATGGTGCCGTCACCAACCCACCCGCCTACGTACCAACTCCTCCTCCCTTCCCTATGGGTGTTCCCAGAGCAGACACGAGATAACAAGATGACAAACTGTGTCTCCGTACGGAGACCAAACATGGCACTCTCCCGTGTGTTCCCAGCAACAGGCGTGGCGAGATTGATCATTCCAGACGATACATTGGGGTCTTGGGTTCGTGGGTACCCGGCACAGACCTGGCATTCTTTGCGACATTCTTTACATTTCGGTCATTTGGCATGCGTTCCCCCTGAGATGATGGCTACATATGCTCAAACCGGATCGGTTTTGGCTACGATTATTATGACCCCTCGACACGATCAATGAATACGATAACTACTTTTGTGAGAAGAGAATATTCTCAAAGAAATGACAAAGCTCATCGTTCCAGTTCTATCTGATCTCCACGTTTTGACGTATGTTGGTTACTCAGGACGATACCTCACCGTGTAGTCCGTCACTCCACTCAAGCTATTCAAGGCATTCAATCCTCAGCCCTCCCATTCCCCAAGAGCGGCCAGTCTGATCTGAACCCGACGCGTCCTCTATCCGGAGCGCTCTCTTGTCCTCCCCATGCACCTCCCATCGGATCTCCCCTCCCCAGCCCTCCTGACATGTATGCACCGCCGTGATGAGTGTTGGATCGTCGTCGAGGCATTCCCTGACCGCCGCGATAGTCGTCGTGGGGATGGGCGTCGTGCCACCACGGACCACGGAATGAGGACTGCGGCATGGAGCGATGACCACCAGAACCTCGTGACGACGTGAAGCGCCGAGGAGCCGACCCGAACCAATCTTCTTCCTCGACGACCACGGCGGGCCCTCTTCGTCGCTCAGCGCGCCCACCGCGTTCAAAGAACCGCGAACCTCCCTGCCAGCCGTGATAGACGGTCTCGGCACCACCGAACATGTCATCAGCAGATCTCCAATCCGGCCGGGCGCGGAAAGCAGGCGCAGAGCCCGCATCGGTGTGCCTCCTGGTGCTTCTCCTTCCGCCGGTGCGCAGTGGGGGCGACGCGCCGTCGCGGCGGTGGTGCCACCCGGAACTGCCTCCCCACCAGCGCGTGTCGTCTGACTCGAACCTATTGCGCGAGTTGTCACGCACGATCCGCAGGTTCCGCTCGTCGTGGTACCGGCCCCCAGGGCTCTGGCGGCGGCGCTGCTGATCGACCAGGACGGGGCGGCCGTCGCGACGCCAGCGCTGCATGTCCCGCGACGTGATGTCCGCTGGGGTGGAGTAGCTATTTCCCATGGTTTTTCTTTCGTTACCGTTCCGCTAGGTTCGAAGAAAGGGAGATTCTTTGTCCAGTACTGCGTGTAATGCAGAGTGCGCTATGTTAGTCTGACTCCCGTGGGATGTTTGTTTTGATTGCAGACCTTTGGGGGGGGGGCCCCAGGAAATAATGCGTCTCGATGATGGATCGTGCCTCAGACTGGGAGAGAGGAAGATAGAGAGAGAGAGACTGAGGTATATGGGACATATTGAATGGTTTATATACTGCTACAAGACGACGAGGCTGTGCCGTTGGTCCAGGCGCAAGGGTGAAAGAAATGCGCGGTGTCATGATCATTTGTGATTGCCATGAGAGTGACAGCTTGGTTGTGTCCCTGTCATTCTTCACTCTTCAGGTGAAGTACGTTCGCTCGCTCTGTGACTTTGGGAGTGAGATGGTGGTGTGGGAGGCAGTGAAACACATCACTCCATCACACCATAGGGAGAGGAAGTCGACGGCGTGTGAAACCCAGGTTCATCGAATATCGCGGTGAGAGGGGAACAGAACGAACAGCTTCAGTACTCTCGCACCCAGTGGGCGCCTCGCCTCACAAGAGGCGTTGCTCTCGAGTGTCGGATATGGACGTGCGTTCGAGGACTTGCGGCGGCATGAAGTCGTTCTGGAAGACGGCTGCCAGCTTCTGCTTCCGATCGCCAGTGAAGATGCGGGCCGTCAACCAACGTCACCCTCACTCCAAGCCAATGCGGATGGCGCGGGTCGACGTATACCTTCTCACTGCGTCTGACTCTCACAGGAGGCCGGCGGTGCTGGCGCTCACATCTCTGTCGTCGGTCGAATGGCCTGCGGCACGGTATCTGACGCACGTCCTCCGTCGACTCGCTCGGCAGACCGGCGTAGAAGCGAGGGTCCCAGTTAGGGGGGAGAGGAGCATGAGGCATCATCTGTCCCGGCCAGTTCTCTGGGTTCGGGTCATCGATCTCTGGCTCCTCATCCAGATGTCGTGGATTTTCATGTCGTCGTCGTCGTCCTCGAAGATCGCTTTGCGGGTGGCGCCACAACGGCCTGGCAAGCGGATGATAGTGTGTTCTCGTTCCCGGCGGTCGATGCTCAGAGACTGTGGGAGGAGACATTTGCCATCCCCCTGACGAATAAGGCTTTGAAGACGAGGACGTCGTGGAGTGCTGACCACGGCTTGAGGGATGGGGTTCGCTTCCACAACGAGATACTCTTGGAGAGCGACGGCGTCCTCGCTGATGGCTTGACCGCCGTCGTGCCCGCTTCTCGGGGACTCTCAGCTCGTGTTTCGCTTTGGACAGAGCGTTGCCCATATTCTTATGCCGTTCGGGTTTTGAGAGGGTGCGCGCCCTGTTTGTGAGGAGGCAGGTTTGATAGTGGTTGCTGCCTTCGTTGGAAGCCCTGCTCTTGTGGGACGGGGACACCATTGTGTCGTGGAGGAGGAGCGGGTGTTACCCTTTGAAGTGACACGGTTGGACGTTGTTGTTTGGTGGACCAAGCAAGAAACACGAGGGTTTTGGTCTGAGGCCCGTTAGTAACACCGTTCTGTGACCATCACTCGGCGACAAACAAGCCCAACTGGTTAGCACAACGACAAACATCACCTCTGGCTCTCTTGGCTGGGTAGACGAGAGGCGGACTCATGATAGTTTGTACTACCATCAAACAGAACTTGAGATTCACTAGACGGGTTCAGCAAAACGGTTCAAGCTGCTTCATAGACACCTCACCGGACACATTGCGAGCCATAGGAGAAATTTCTTAAAACAAAGAGGAACAGATAGGAAGAAGGCTAGGAGAAATGGAGTCTTGTCCTGGATACTGGTCATCTGGCCCTGCTAATTGCCCTCCCGCATGGATCTAAATTTCCTTCGGAGCTCCGTGTCTTTAATCTCGCCAATGTACACATTTGCGCTTCTGGCAGGCGTCGAGGCCAACGGCGGTGGCTTCAGCTCGTCTTCCGTTTGCAGCTTCGATGCGTCATGCCCAAAAAGCCAGTCCTTCCTCTTGGAGTTGGCCCAGAACATGGGATTGTCGAAATTGTCGTGCTGCATCAGCTCGTCTCGCCTGTCCTTTTCAGGTCCGTCGTAGAGGTGCCACCAGGATTGTAGGATCCGCGTGTTTTTCGCCACGTGCGTGGCCCGCGGCAACCTTTGCCTTTCGTAAGCTTTCAGCGCTTCGTGGAGATCGTCGTACTCGCGAAGAGCCGCTTGCAAGGTGGCAGCATCTTCCGTCGCTTGCGCTGCCCCTTGTGCCATGTAAGGCATCATCGGGTGGCAGGCGTCGCCGAGAATGGCGACTTTGCCGCTCGGATGGACCCATCTTTGGAGGTGGTCAAAGTCGGCCAGTTTCCATTTGAGATATGACCCTGTGAGTCCGCAGAGCTTGCGCATGGGTGCACACCAGTCCGCAAAGCGTTTCACCAACTCGTTATTGTCGGCCTGGGACCGCCATTCTTCGTCGCCGATAGGTTTGCCCACGTCCGTTGCGTGGGTGATGTCGATGATGATGTTGTAAAGCTCTCCGCCCCGTAATGGATAGCCGACAGCATGTGCCTCGGGGCCCAGCCAATGCATTGCCCACGCGTTGTCGAACAAATGACGCGTTTCTGGGTCATTTCGCAGTGGTTCGGCAGGCACCAAGACTCTGTACGCGACGTCGCCCGTATCTTGGGGGTCGACAGGCGTTCCGTTAATAATATTCCTAACCGCAGACTTGATACCATCGGCACAGATAACCAGGTCTGCGGTCAACCTTTCGCCCGAGGCCAGGGTCACTGCAGGGGCGTCAAAGTCATAGTCTTGGACTCGGCTATCCATCTTCAAGGTAATATTCTTTCGCTGAGAGGCCGTGTCGACGAGGAGATTGATCAGGTCCGCTCGATGGATGAAATAGTATGGTGCTCCATACTTGGCCTGAACGTCATCGTATGAAACATCCTTGATCACCTTGCCGGTCCAGTCCAAGAAGCGAATTCCGCCAGCCTTCTCCTTTTTGATTTTGTCAAAGTCGACGCCCCAGCTCTGACTCAGACGAGATGAGTTGGGAGGAACGCGAATGCCAGCACCAACCTAGTCAATACATGAGCCTGCAAAGCACCAAGATGAAGCGCGTCACCATCCATACCTCGAGGAATTCCTTGGCTGCTTCTAGCACAGTGACTTCGTGGCCGTCGGTTGCGAGAGCCAATGCCAAAGAAAGGCCGCCGATGCCCGCGCCAACAACAATAACCCGTAGATCTTTCATAATGCGGTTGGTGCTCTTTGATTCTTTTCGACAAAGACCTGGTCAGGATGATTCTGCAAGTGGTGGTCCTCGATAACAAGGAGTCTTTGAGAGTTGACAAATGTTTCCTGTCTCTTGCTTCTGGAATCGAAGTATTTGAGAAAGGCTGTTGATGCAGGCTGATCGTACATTCTGCGGGATGACATAGCCGCGGGCAAACTCCTAGGCCAATCATGCACAGCTTGTATTCTCGCCTCGGTGTTCGTGTAGGGCATGCATATAGCTAACCCATCATGTGCCCTCCGCTTAGCAAAGAGTCGAGACTGAGGCCCCTGTTTCGGCGTTATTGAGCCCCGAGCAGAGTGATGTTGGAGAAGATTGAAAGTATCAATGGAGCGACGAGGAAACGCCGAACGAAACGGAAAGAATGAATTTTGCCGAGAAGAGAGCTCATGCCCAGTCTCGGAACTACTGTCGATGCAGAGAGAAAACCATATAGATTGATGCCAACGCTGCTGCTGCCACTGCTGTTTGGTGTCCCCCCCTCATATCGCTAGATATCGAGCGCAATGTACCGAGGAAGCTTTGACAGGTCACGATCGGAACGGCGACGGAACAAATACCGTCAAGTTAACGAGAGGTGAGACCCAAACGAAACCATCGTTCCGAGCCAGACAATGGTGAATTCGGAGTAAACAGGGGTGGGCAAACATTGTGCGGTTCTTCCTTTACTTTCCACGTTCAAGAATCAGTTATTCACCAGGTGTAAGACATCATGCGTCAACAGTGCGGGGTCTGGCCATGCTATTTGATATTTTGCACGAGCGACCATTTACGCCGAAGGTTCTCCATTTGCTTGGCCTCGACAACAACGTCCAGTAATTCAAATATTGGAGGGGATAACAGGTCGACTCGTCCAAAGTCGTGCTAGATCGAGCTGAAGTGTCTTTGAGACGCGTCGCCCAACCATGCGCAAGTAGGAATTTGGAACCGAATGTACTCGGCAATACCCATATCACCCGGGTATTGAATCGCCAGCCTCGTGCTCTGGTTAGAGAAGTGAACTATCACTTACGGGGAGATGGTGGCCATATCATGTGCGTAGATCTGTTCAATAACTTGGTCAGCGCCAGAAGGTGCAGCTACCCAGCAGCTACTAAGTCCCTAGTTGCTAGTGGCCGCTAGTCCCTCTAGTACTCACTACCTACTACTAGTCCCGGCTTAGTTTCACTTTATTGGAATTAGAGTAGGCCAAGACTTTAATCTTTTGTAACGTAATTGTGCGGATATCCGAACGACATCAAGTTGCCCGACCATCTCCTGACCATCCACCGAATACGAATGCCACCTCAGCTCCGACAGCTCATCTCCAAAATCCTTTCCCATCGGTAGAATTCCGAGAGCACACGCGGTCAATGGATCCCTCTTCACTCAGCCCACCTTGTCTATTCCGCACTATATCGAAACAAGAACTCCTACCTCATTCGGAATCTAGAAGAATGTCACGTATGGCTGATGATTAAGGTAGAATGTTGATCCCCCACCGCAACCCTCCAAGTCTCTCCTAAAATGTAATACCCTTTGTTCCCTCTGCCCACGACTGCACCGTCTCTCGATGCCGGGCTCAAAGTCAGCCTTTTCTATTGCTTTCTCTCCTTGGGCTCGAGGAGGAGAGATGTCACGCCCCAACCAATCACTTCAAAGCCTCGACAAGTGCTTGCGTGGCCCAGAATCACTCGAAAAGGTAGAGTGACTCAAAACAGATAGCTGCTCTCCCAGTCCATCATCTCTCTCTTCGCCTCCGTGGGACCAGCTACGGCGAAATGTCTACAGCTGCTGCGAAGCCTTGGCCAGAACCTGATGTGGCCATGATACAAGGTATGGGAATGGATTCGTTATGCCGCAGACAGCGTCGCCAATCCAGCCTGCTCGAGTGCCAAGCAAGCAAGACTTACTCTTAGAGCTTATTTCAACGAGGTATTAGACATACTCACCTGGTGGTAGCATGGCAAGATGGCTTATCTGCGAAGTGGAGAAGGGTCTCGAGCCATAATGGCACAAACACCCCTGTTCCTCTCGATTTGGCGCCATCTAGGAAGACCCTGTTAAACTGTTATATAGTCCTGTGGATTGTTCAGCACCAAAGCGCTCCCATCTAGCCGAAACTTATGATCCTCCAGGCAAAGGAATCGCAAAGCTTGACCCAGATACACACTAGGAGTCGCCCGATTGTCACCATAACGTTGTACCGCGGAGTATCCACTCGGGAAATAGGATCTTGATTGACGTTGTCCGACACGTCTGCTCGTATGGGACCCGCTGGACACGAGCCAGTTTCCCAGGCCCAGGTTACCGGCTCGAGAGATCTGATATACATTGGGTCTGAGGCCACCATGCCGTTGTCGAAGATGCAACACCACGAACAGTACAGCCGGTCAGCAACAACTACCACTCCAATGAATCTAACACGTCGTTCTGACAACCAGGTCTCTCGACACAATTTGTTCTCGCCGGCCCAAGTGATGGAAGGATTCTCTCAGCTCTCGGTTGGAGATGGAAATCCGCACCCCACACTGATCGACCGGCATGCATCTCAATCGTCGATTTCGAGCGTACCCTCGTTGGATTCCGATTACATTACAGACACAAACTGGCAACCCTCTATCGGCAGTCTATATATACCTTCTCTCCAGGATTCAACCTGGTGGTTAGAACCTTTTGGAGAGGTCCAGGATCCTCCACTCGACGCAGACCCGTCTATTCTTTCTGGGGATTTGTCGCAACTAGCATCTCCCGTGGACGGTCTGGATGGCAGCATGCTCCCCCAGGGACAAGTCGACACGAAACTCGACCGCAAGAAGGAACGGCGGAGAGAGCAGAATCGCCAGGCGTGAGTTTCGTTCTTAACACCCACCACTCCTCCTTCTGCAAAATCTCCAACTCCTGACAAGGAAAAACGCTGACGAGGCTGAGTGAAACCCAGACAGCGCCGCCACCGCGAACGAAGACAACTGAACTTCTGCCTCACGCAGGGCAAGGTCGCCGAGCTGCAGACGGCTCTCGCCGCGGCGCTCGAGCAACAGAAACTCGTCAAGCAGGAAAACAGCCACCTGCGGGGCCGGCTAGCGTCCCTCGAGGCCGAAGTCGACTGTCTCCGGCGGAGTCTGTCGCCGGCGACGTTTGAGGACGGCAAAGGTCTCGA